GGGAAAGGGAAATAATGTTAAGGTGCTTCGCTGTATTTTGAAAAAAAACAACAAACTGATAAGGCAACTGGTACTATCCTTAGGATCAACTGTTTAAACCAACACATATTCCCAGCAGGGCTTTTATCTGTGCTTTAGGGAGTATAAATGGCAGCCTCTCTGAAGTAGAGTTAATTGGAATGCAAAAATTAGCTAAAGAGAAGTGGAAGAGTCTTCACCTGTGAGCACTATCTAGATTTTCAGAGTTTGTTGTTCGCCCCTCCCCACATCGCTTTTCACAGACTTTTTTTTTTTTTTTTAAAGGAAAATCACAGCATAGCCCTATAGAAACTGAACTATGTGTATCATTTCATGTTGTTTTCTCCTTTACACCTGATATCCCTAAAATAGCTTGATTATGGTATGGCTAGCTTAACTATAAAATATTTTCTTTATTACTATTTATCTTGATTTGAAAAAATAGAGATAGTAGAACAAATGTAAGCTTTTGTGGCTATGTTGTTGTTGTGAAGTGCCATCAAGTCAGTTCCGACCCATAGCTACCCTGTACAGGGTTTCCGAGGAGTGACTGGTGAGCTTGAACTGCCGAGCTTTGCAGTTCAAACAGCTTTACAGTCTGGCACATTAACCCACAGTGCCACACCAGGACCTGACCCTAAAATAAAGGTTATTTAACTTCTAAAAAATAAAAAAAAGTAGGGATGGCCAAGGGAGAAGAGCACAAGTGGGGTGCAGGACCCTATCCAGAGAAGCAGTGACACAAAGGATGGAGGAAGAGATGAGGACATGGAGAGAGGGAGCAGCAGAGGACTGAGGACTCTGTACTCATGGAAAGAGAGGGACTGGGTACTGTCAGACAGGAGGCAAGCTTACAGCATGTGCTCTTTGGTTGTTTAAATTATTATATATTCCTGAGTGTTTCTGTGTACACCCCCCCCCCACCAAAACAAAACAAAACAAAAAAAGGGAAGCAAATACTGTTGAATGATGATGCACGGAGATTGTAATCATTGTAATGAAACGATGGTGTAATGCTAATGTTCTCCCATGTTAACTATCACTCAATTCACAATTGAAAACAAAACAAACAAAAAAAAGGTTATGGTTACTGTTTCTTGGGATTCCAAAGGGATATGGCTCCTTGGAAATCCTAGCAGGGTCTCTATGAGTCAGAAACAACTCAACAGCCCTTAACAACAACAACTTTGTTAGATATTCTTGAAGGGCACAGAACAATCAAAGGAGCATATTAGAAAGAATTTTTAAGAAAACTGAAAACTGCACTGGTGAGAAAAAAAAGGCCAGGGAAGTTGTGCTGAGGAATCTTCTTATTGCTTTTTTCCCCCATCATAACAATGTACCACCTCACTCTTCAAGAGTAGCAAGGGCTAGCCTAAAAGAATTCCAAGAAACCTTATCCTACCTATCCTTCAACCCTGATCTTGCCCTTTCAAACTTCTTTTTGTTCTCAAACCTCAAAAATCATTTCAATGAAGCATGATTTGAGTCTCTGGAGAAGGCCAAAATTGCCATTTTGATGTAGTGTGAATTCAAAGAATACAGAATTCTTCAGAAAGGGGTTAGAAAGATGAAATCACCACCTTCAGAATACACAGACCCAGATAGAGACTATATCATGAAACAATAACTTCACATTTAGATATTTTTGTTTAATAAAGATTTCTATGATTTTGTAGTAAAACTTTTTTACTTTTGTAAATACACAGGTGTGTGCAGTATGTGATTGACCAAACTCATTTGAACAGCTAAAGCAATTATATTTTTAAAAAGAATCAACTAAAAAAGCTCCACTACTGTCCCCCCACAACCCTAAAAAAGAACAAGGAAGTCTACAAAATCAGTCAGGTCAGTATATAAAACTACAAATTACGGCAAATAAAAAATTCACTTTGAGCAACATCTTATGTAAGGTTCCCAGAACCACTCAAAAGATGCTTTCAGAGTAAAACAAAGTTACAAAAATAGTTAGGACACCGGTAGGCAAAAAGACTCATGTTGGAGAAGTTAAGCAAATTTTCTTATGCTAGATAAGAAATTGTTGTGTAGAAAACAAAATATAAAATATTGCCTTATATTTATACAGGTACTTTATATCTATAAGGTACTTAAGAAAAATGTACAGAGATTGAAAGGGAATAAAAGGCAAATAAAATGATTACTTTTCATTACTGATTCCTTCTGCAAACAGATGACTCGAGTGAGAACACCCAAAAAACAAATAAAAATAAAAGTAGCAGGCAGTTCACTAGTTGTGAAAATGTGAAGACTCAAGGAGTTCTGGTAGCGTAGTGGTTACGAATCGGGCTGCGAACCTTAAGGTCAGCGGTTCGAAACTACCAGCCGCTCCGCGGGAGAAAAATGAGGCTTTCTACTCCCGTAAGGATTTACACCCTCGGAAACCCTGTACAGGGTCGCTATGGGTCGGAATCGACTCGACGGCACTTAACAACAACAACAACAACAGAGGAAACACAGTGAATTCACTCAGTTACTAAGGTAAAGAAAAACTTGTTCACCAATTCTTTTAGAGTTGCTTCTAAAAGGTGGCAAGGAGAGTAACATATGGGGAGTCTGGATAAAAACACTTACAGATTCATAGAGAGTTAGGAAAATCCATGAATGGCTGAGATAAGCTGAGATTAATCCCTACCCTTTACAAACTGATGTCCAAGAGAATAAATGGGCCCTTGTGGTCTCTACTGGAAGCAGCCATTTGAAATGGTGGTGTCATACAGACCATGAATTTGGTCAGCTCTATGTTTCAGTATTATAGCAAATATATCAAGGTATTTTCTGAAAATATTTTTCTATAAATACGTTTCTACTGAGTGTCTTATGAGTCCTATTTCTGTTGTTAAGTACTGTTGAGTTGAATCCGACTCATAGCAATCCTGTATAGCAGGGGTGGTGAACATCTGGCCCTACCAAGGCAACCTCAATTCCAGCTATCACATCAGGGGTGAGTTAATTAAATGTTTGAGCAAATACAGCAGGTTAACTTTTAAGTTGATAATTTTGCATAGCCTGTGAATGATGTTATCAATTTTGGCAGGAAAAGGGTTTCCTCCCCTTCTGTATAGGATTTCTGAAGAGCAGCTTCAGAATTGCTGGGTTGGAATTGCTGACCTTGTGTTAAGCAGTCCGGTACTTTTCCTCCAGTTCCATACCACAAGTCCTTTTGGAGTCTACAGGCTATGTATTCCAATAGCATTATTATTCCATGAGAAAATTCTGCCTAGTAATTTTCCTTATAGGAAAAATTCTTCATCGAGGCCCTGGAAGATTTTTTTTTTTTTTTTTAATGTAGTGAATGAAACTGGTAATAAACAATATAGCAGAGTTACTGAGAACAGCTATTTTCAGAAGTCAAGTGTAGAAATAGTTTCAATTGGGAAAATCATGGAACAGATTCTAAGCTTCCTGGCATATGACATCAGATGTTAATTCAATTTCAAAAGGTTGGTCTGAAGTCAAAAAATCCACTACCACAGCAGATACTTAAGTACAACTATTGCTAGTTTGAAGTGGGAGTCCTGGTGTGGCACTGTGGGATAATGCACTGGACCACAAGGTCAGTTTGAACGGCAAAATCGGTGGTTCAAACACACCAGTTGCTCCTTGGAAACCTTACAAAGGGTTGCTATGAGTCAGAACTGACTCCAAGGCACTTAATAACACAACAAGTTTGAGATAAGCATTGGGCTGTTAACCAAAAGTTCAGCAGTTCAAACTCACCAGCCAACTGCTCCTCAGAAACCCTATTAGAGGGTTGCTATGAGTCAGAACCAACTCGATGGCACTTAACAACGAGTTTGAGATAACTAATAGGCAAACTAATAAGAAGACTAGAAGTACCAAAAGATCTACTGGTAGCTGAACAAGAAAAAAAAAAAAAAAATTGCCTTAGAGAGCAGACAGGTTTTCTTAGTTTCATTAATTCCTTGACTGAAATGGAATAGCAATAGGGCATAATTTTCATAAAACAACTATATTTGCTTACTAACTTAAAAATGAGTTGTTAGTTTAATCAAAATTACCACCTACTTTTCACTGTGAGACACAAACTTTCTGGTAAGACTTTCCAAAGAAGTTCTACTGGACACACATGCGGTTCTCCACGAGTGGGAATACACTTGAAAGCAGCTGGTATATTCATTTGAGTTCATGGAACCTAATCCAAGCCCAGTGCTTAAAGAACTGGGGCTGTTTCTTGTTGCTGTTATTACTCTGTTTCTCTGGGAGTGGAATGGCTGGACACAGGACATTCAGCTTTTAATCTAAAGCAACCTCATTTACACTCAGTAACACTAACCATCTAAAAAGTACATTCTCCTCACATTGCATATCAAAACCTATTGCCCTCAAGTTGATTCCAACTCAAAGCAACTCTACAAGGCAGAGTACACCAGTCCCATAGGTTTCCAAAGTTGTAAAACTGACAGAAGCAGACTGCCACATCTTTTTTCTAGGGATTGGGTGGTGGGTTGGAACTGCTGACCTTGTAGTTAGCAGTTGAGCACTTAACGACTATTGCCACCAGGCACATTCTCATACACTGTATCAAGAATATGTTTCCTTGTCAGTCTACTGACCAAATACTCGAATGGTGTGTTGGCATTGTATGAATGCTCAATCCAAGCAGGAAAGTGCATGTGTGTGTGTGTGTGTGTGTGTGTGCAACACAGTGTCGGTTCTAACCCATAGTGACCCTGCACAGGTTTCCTAGGAGCAGCTGATGAGCCTTAACCTCCAACCTTGACGCTCAAACCTATTTTGCAGCCCAGAACATTAACCTGTAGCACCACACTAGGACTCCAGGAAAGTAGTGCATCATAAATAAGGGACCTTGATGGCTTCTGTGTCACACCTGTTTTTCAGAGTAGCACAAATCATCAATTGGTAACCAATCGTATCTCACCCCCTAAATAAAAACTGACTTTATATTAAAAAAAAAAAAAAAATAGTTCAGCAAACCTTACTTCTGGTAGTGGGCTGGCTGGTTTGGTTAGGATTCCTCCTACATATACAACATTAGGCAAGGTGGGTCTTGGAAATTCCAGTGCTACGTCAGTACACAGCATCCACAGGCTGGACCCATGAACCAAATCATACATGGACTTCTCCGGCAACAGGTTATACTTCTGCATGATCCTTTCATATTTGGGAAGAACCAGAAAGCTGACTCCTAGTCTGGAAATGAGGTAAACGCCGGTATTTTTCATCCTTTGCAGCAAGTTCATGTGGTCTGTGAGGAGTGAGTTAAACTCTGGAACATAGGCTAATGGAGCAGGAGCGCCTACTTCAGCTGGATACCAAAGACCAGTTGAAAATACAGCATATTTAACCCCCAAAAGATGAGCTATCACAAATCCACACATGTCATTAGGGTCTACCAGCAGCAGGTCAAATTTTTCCTTTTTCAGATCCTGAATCAAGGCATGGTTGCCAACCATCATATCACAGTTCTTAGTGTAGTGATCCAGTATGTCAAATAGTTCGACTGCTGTCAATATCCCAGAGAAAATATTTCGCATTTTGGACTGCAGGAAAGCATCCGAGGTGGTACTGTTAAAGATCCCTGGGTAGCGCTGGAGGCTGTAATGATTTGATGGAGCGATATCTCTGCCTTCTGAGAGAAGGAACACCGTGTGATGACCTCTCTCGTGCAAGGCCGACGCTAATGTCTTGAAAATGTACATATGGCTTTCGAACATAATTGGCGGCACGATGATGATTTTGGCAGCCTTCGCTATCCCGAAAGCACTCCACAGGAGCATGAAATACAGAGTGTAAGACTTCATAGCTGAAATGACAACCAGAAAACAACTTACAACAGAATACAATCATTATGCTTTAAAATATATAATCACAAAGCCTAGTTTTCTCAAGTCTCTGATAATCATTACTACTCTTTTCCTAGAAGACTTTAAAGCACAACATTTAAGTACTTGCTGCTAACTAAAAGGTTGATATTCTGAACCCGCCCAGTGGCTCTGGGGGATGTAGACCTGGTGATCTGCTTCTGTGAAAATCACAGCCAAGAAAGTCCTATGGGGCAGTTCTACTCTGTGACCTGGGCTGGCTTTGAGTTGGAAATGATTTGATAGCACCCAACAACAAATCTTTGCCTAAGAAGGAATGATTCTGAAAAACCATCCTATCTCATTATTTCAACTACCATTTTATTTGTGAAAGATTATTTTGAGTCTAGAATTGGAACTAAAGCTGACATAAACATATAAAATGCATCTATTTGGGAGTACCTAATTGCATTAGTCATAGGGAGAAATATATTTTCATTTTGGAATAAATTTACTGTAAGGTTGAATGACAAATGCTATCTCCTCCTTGAATCATACCTGTGAAACATTTGTCATGTAATAAACTGTCAATGTTAAAATCAGGCAAATGATCTAGAATTTTTATTTCCAAATCTATCAACATGTATATCCCTTATATGAATAATAATTTTATCTCAGCAGTTACATTTTGTTGTGCCTAAAACATACCAAAGAAATATTGCTTTAGAAAATAATTCATTCAAGTAGTACCTCTACTAGGAAGACTTCTCTTCATATACAGAAAAAATATTGCTCACATGATTTCTCCCTTATTTAAATGTCACGAGTACCTGGCAGTCCCTATGTAATTTATATCAATTCTCTGATTGGTTTCAGGGAGATAAACTGTTGATAGAAAAGTTCAAGAAGTTTAACTCTCGCTCAGCAAACACTTGTGGAAGAAGTGATTTATGAATGAATATGCCGCAGACAACACTTTTCTCTGTTTCATCTATAACTCAGATGCAAACAGAAAGTCAGATGATGACTATAAACCTGGAGACTAATGATTCTACTACCTTACCACAATAACAGATTACACAAGACAGAATCTTTTTAACATCTGCTGTGCATAAGGTCGCTATAGGTCGGTACCAACTCGATGGCACCTAACAACAACAAAACTTACTTTTTATACAGAGGACATATAGTATGCAAACTCCCCTACCCTACTCAATATTCTTAGACTCTAGATTAGCTCCCAAACAGAAAAAAGGCGAAAAAAAAACTGCACATGCAAACTTTCATTTTAAGGAATTCCAGGAAGATATTTATACATCCCCAAATCAATAACTATTTTTTATTATCATATATTAAATATCTTATTTGCTGAAATCTCCACCATGCAAATGGAATTTTAATAACTATACCTCCTCCACATTTAATCACTACAAACAACCTAGAACAAAAAACATTAGCAAGAAAATGATGGCTTGTTCCATATCAATACAGAAATATAAGATATGTTATATTTCAGGGTACTTGCCTCCCTCAAAAGACATTTCAGACTATTTCTAGATAAGCTGAAACTCTACTATGAAAAGTAATAAATATTATTAATTTATAAAAGGGCCTGTCAAACTTTGCTCAAATTATTATGAGGGCTTTAAAATAATCGGAGGAATTATGTAGAAATGAAGTGAGTTTGACAATTTTAATGTCTGTAAAGAAAGAGAATGAAGTAAACAGACTTGGAGAAAGTTTTCCAGGCCTTTTATTTGAATGTACTAACTCTCTAAAGCATCTCTCTGTTGTTGTTACCATCTCCCAATTTCAAAGAAAAAAACATGGAAATTTAAATAGACATGCTATGGATTACAGTTGTGAATTTTAAGCAAAAAGCAGTAGCCACTGTCCACCACTGTAATTATTGTTGGGCTTCATTACTTGTATGTCCAAACACCTGATGAACAAATAGAAGGGAGCTGTGTTCTCCGTTAGGTTTGCATGAAGCTGAGCAGGCATTAAGACATACTTAGTTCATTCAGTTACACTTAAAATAATTTATCTAGCGTGTTGTTGTTGCTAGGAGGTATAGAGTTAGTTCTGAGTCATATGCACCGAAAGTAACCCCCACGCCCCCAAAGGAAAAAAAAAAAAAAAAAACTAAAACAAAAAACAACACATATGATAATAAAAGGGAAACATGTTTTCATTGTTTCTGTATTCTTCCTTTGTAAATATTAATATTTCAGTTATTATTATAAAGTAAAAAGAAATTATGACAAAAAAAAAAGGTGGTTTCTTAAGGCACAACCTCTGGAATCTCTGCAATGCTGAAAATAATGAACATCCAGGAAGTGCAATAGGGTAGCCCCTACTCCTCAGAAACCCTACACAGGGTTGCTATGGGTCGGAGCTGACTCGATGGCACTTAATAACAACAACAACCAATGTAGAAGGAACTCTGATAGCTTAGTGGTAACAAATCGGGCTGCAAAAATAATGAACATCCAAGAAGTGCAAGTTGGTAGCCCCAACCAAGGAGCTCTGGTAGCGTAGTGGTTACGAATCGGGATGCGAACCACAAGATCAGCAGTTCAAAACTACCAGCTGTTCTGCGGGAGAAGGATAGGGCTTTCTGCTCCCATAAAGATTTACAGTCTCGGAAACCTTATACAGGGTCACTATGAGTCGGAACCGACTCCACGGCACATAACAAAAACAAACCAATGTAAAGGGGGCTCTGGTAGCATAGTGGTTAAGAATCGGGCTGTGAACCGCAAGGTCAGCAGTTCGAAACTACCAGCTGTTCCACGGGAGAAAGATGAGACTTTCTGCTCCCATAAAGATTTACAGCCTCGGAAACCCTGTGCAGGGTCACTATGAGTTGGAACCAACTCCACGACACATAACAACAACAACCAATGTAGAATACCACCTCATCTGTCAGTTTGTCTTACTGTGATGGCATGTGTGTTGTTCTGATTCTGGAAGCTATGTCACCTGTATTTTAAATAATAGCAGGATTACCCATGGTGGACGAGTTTCAACTGAGTTTTCACATTAAGACAGACAAGAAGAAGGAGAGACAGACGTCTGAATATATATCCACTGAAAATCTTATGAATAGCAGTGGAACACTGTCAGATAGCACCAGAATATTGAATAATGAAACATTAAGAATCGCAACAGAATATTGTCAGATACAGCACCAGAAGTTGTTCCCCACAGGTTGGAAAGCACTCAAAATATGACTAGGGAAGAGCTGCCTCCACAAATTAGAGTTGACTGTGATGACAAAAATGGAGTTAACCTTGCAGGACCTTCATTTGCTGATGGAGCACAATTCAAAACAAAGAAAACAACTATAAACATCCATTAATAATCAGAACACACAGTATATGATTTATGAATCTAGGAAATTTGGAAGTTGTCAAAAATGAAATGAAACACATAAAAATCTATATCATAGACATTAGTGAGACAAAGTCGAATATCATAGACATTAGTGAGCCGAAATGGACTAGTATTGGCCATTTTAAATCTGACAAATACACACTTTACTATGCCAGAGATGACAAACTGAAGAGGAATGGTGTCACATTTATCATCAAAAAGAACATTTCAAGATTAATCTTGTAGCATAATGATGTGTATGATAAGATAAAATCAATATTCCTACAAGGAAAATATTATTCTAATCTACGCAGCAACAACTAAATGAAGTGATGATGAAACTGAAGAATTTTACCAACTTCTTCAGTGGGAAATTGATCAAACATGCAATCAAGATGTAATGATAATTACTGGTGACTGAAATGCAAAGGTTGGAAAAAGAGAAGAACGATCAGTAGTTGGCACTATGACCTTGGTGATAGAAATGATGCTTAAGATTAAATGATAGAATTTTGCAAGGCCAATGACTTCTTCATTGCAAATATTTTTAAACAACATAAAAGGTGACTATACACAAGGACCTCACTAAATGGAATACACAGATATCAAACTGACTACATCTGTGGGAGGAGACGGTAGAAAAGCTCAATATCATCAGTCAAAGCAAGACTAGGAGCAGATTATGAAACAGACCATTAATTTTTCATATGAAAGTTAAGTCTGAAGAAAATTAAAACAAGTCCACGAGAGCCAAAATGTGACATTGTACATATCCCACCTGAGTTAAGAAATCTTCTCAAGAACAGATCTAATGCATTAGACACTAATGACCACAGACCAGAAGAGTTGCAGGATGACATCAAGAACATCACACAGAAGAAAGTAAAAGATCATTAAGAAGACAAGAAAAAAGGAAAAGGCCAAAATGGATGTCAGAAGAGACTCTGAAACTTACTCTCCATTATAGAGACACTGAAGCAAATAAAAGAAATGAGAAGGCAAATGTGCTGAAAATAAAATATCAAAGTGCAGCTCAAAACAGTCAAGTATTTTAATGAAATATACAAAGATCTGGAGCTAGAATACCGAAAGCAAAGAACATTTTCAGCATTTCTCAAGCGGAAAGAACTGAAGAAAAAATTAAAGCTTTGACTTGCAATATTAAAGGATTCTATGGACAAAATAATGAATGATGCAGAAAGCATCAAAAGAAGATGGAAGAGATACATAGTCACTTAACCAAAAAGAAATTGTACATGTTCAATCATTTCAAGAGGTAACATATGATCAAGAGCCAGTGGTACTGAACGAAGAAGTCCCAGGTGCTCTGAAGGCATTGTCAAAGAACAAGGCTCTGAGAATTGATGGAATACAAATTGAAGTCTTTCAACAAATTGATGCAACACTGCAGGCATTCACTTATTATGCCAAGAAAATACATGACCAACTGATGAGAAGAGATCCATAGTTGTGCCTATCCAAAGAGAAGTCACCAACAGAATGTGGAAATCATCAAACAATATAATTAATAACACATGCAAGTAAAATTTTACTAAAGATACTTCAAAACTGGCTGTAACTGTACATTGACAGTGAACTGCCAGAGGTTGAAGCCTGATTCAGA